TAATATAAAATGGAACAAATACTTTGTGCAACAGTGTACATGTACAGATGGGGCCATACCCAAAGACTGTGAAACTCTTAGATATGGAAGGAGTACTTCCTTTTCCTGACCTTCACCTCAGAAGGCAATGGTGCATGTTACAGCTGGCAGAAAGCCCCCTTTTTCCTTCAGGGGAGGAGACTTCAACAGCAGCTGCCTGGTAAATAATGAAGTGTTAGATTTGGATAACTACTTTTTGCAAATCTTTTTAGTAGAGTCCAGCTGCTCTGCTGGGTACATGCCTTGCAGGCAAACTCCAGATCCTCTGCTGTACTTCATGGATTAACAGAGCCAGCTCCCAGTCACCAGATGAATGAGCAACAAATGCTGCTACAGGCTGTGTGAGCCTTGCTCATAATTCTAAGACTGTGCACTTAATAATAGTGCCCATACAGTCAAACTTTCTATGGAGGTCACTTTTTGTTTTTAATAGAGAAGGTGCTTAATTCATTGAGTGATGTGGGAAGTTTTAAGTATTTAAAAGGGTCGAATTTGGATGAAAAATTGGAGGACTGTAGTCTTCTACAAGGCAGAGGTAGGTCTATCTGTGACACTTAGGTGATCCTCTCTGAAAGAAGAATGAATTATGGAAGGTGATTCAGATGGACTTAAAATTCAGATTTCCAGATTCCTTCAACTTTGGCTGTCTTCAGACTAATTTGATAGAGGTGTGAGATGCCATTCAGTTTGTGTATATCCCACTGCTTGGGGCAAATTAAACTTGACAGAGTAGGGAAAAAATCTGTTAAGAAAGCTTTTTCTGATGTGAGTCCTTGTTCTCTGCATGACAGTATCAGCCTGAACTGTTTATTAGAACTGTTGATGTTAAATTAGGTGCAATTGAAATATATGTATTTTTAGTAACTGTTACCAGTAATAACTTTCCCTTGTATTTTGTACTGCATAAGCCATGCACAGTTACAGCTCTACATCTATTTCATTGGTTTCATGATTTTGTTTTAGGAAATGCTTCTTGAAAACACTTATAGAATAAGGTATATAGGAGAAGAGGTGGTTTTAGGGTCCCTTGGCATGTTGGGCTACTTCTGCTTCAGAAAATTAGAAGAAACTGAACTCAGTTCTGGAACAATACCCTTAGAAATTGCAGTTAGATTAACCAGAGATCTCCAATCTACAGGGATGCAAGTGCTGCACTGAATATGACATAATAGATCTTCTGTTTCTTCACTAATCTAATACTGGTCTTTTTTGTTGTTTTTCACAGTGCTTTTAATAAAATTTTTCTACTCTATTCCACTCTTGAAATTTGTAATTCAGAATATTTTTTATTAAATTTTGTTGCTTTTCTCTCCATCGAAGTTGCTAAATTTTTCTGGTTTTTCTTACTAACTTTGGGTCCAGTAAATTTGTTTACAAGAATGCCTGTAAAGAATTTGCATTCTAAACTTATGAGTTATTTTAAAAATGTGGTTCACATAAAGATCCTTTGAATTGAAAGCATTTCCATCTTTGACTTCCTTTAGGTGCCTGGTAGAGGATTCTGGGGATGTGGCCTTTGTGAAGCACTCAACAGTGTTTGAGAACACAGATGGTACTTAGTTTTACATATCTCTTTATTATAATTAAATTAATTTTTCTTGCTCTAAAGCATTCATTGCTTGACAGTGACCAGTTTATTTTTTTTTCAGGTAAAAACACTGCTAGTTGGGCCCAAAAGCTGAAGTCCAGTGATTTCCAGTTACTGTGTCCAAATGGTGCCCGTGCTGAAGTCACTCAGTTTGCCGGTTGTCACCTGGCTCAGGTGCCAGCTCAGGCTGTCATGGTTCACCCAGATGTCAATGTTTTTGCTCTATATGGACTACTGGACAGAGCCCAGGTACTAATAATCCATTTATTTTTGAGGGGAGTTATATATGGTCTTGCACAGTCCAAGGATAAAGACCATGCTGCCATATCCAGCCTCATGGCACGGGCAGCTTATGGGTAGTGCACAGCCTGTTGGGAGTGTGACAGAGAAGGTAAAGGACAACCCATGTAACTCACCCAGTAAAACCACACTGGTGCACAAGGGATTTCAACTTTTTGCCCAGCCACTGGTGCAGTAGTAATTTCCCTGGAACTTAAGGTGTTTTCCTATGTGTTTCTCCTGTTTCTGTGTTACTTTGAGGTGTGCAAGAAACAGAGTATGTGCTAATGCTTTTCCATTCTGGAATCTTCCTTGGAATGCAATAGAACTTTGCTGGGTTTGTTTATGCTGCAGCATGTACATGGTAAACCATGCAGGCAGAGAGTGCCTGGCTGCCACAGTGAGGCTCCTTCTTCTCCACCCTGAAGACCCCAAAATCAAGACTGAGCAATATCTCCATGTCAGTCATGTCTGTAACTCCTGGGCAGCCAAACCCTATATTGCATAACAATATTGAGGCAGGAGAATTTTAAAAAAACTACAGCTCTTTTTCCAGATAGCAACTAAAAACACAAAATCACAAATACTGTTCTTGTAATTGCCAGTGGCAGAATTCTGTATCTGATCTACTGAAGCATCTAAAAGCAAACGCATAAGAGAGATTCTGCAATTGTGTATGAATTTTTCATCTACAAAACGGTTCCTGTCATCTTTCATGTTGTATGACAGGAACATGGCACTTCATCTTGCAAAATGCTGAGAATTTTTCATTATTTTCAGGTCTACTTTGGAAATAGCAGCAATGAAAATGGATTCAAAATGTTTGATTCTTCAACTTTTCAGGGAAAAGACTTGATTTTTAAGGATTCTACTCTTGAGATTGTGCCAGTAGAAGAGAAGAGAACATACACAGACTGGCTGGGGAGTGAATATATTGAGTCCCTTGAAGGGATGCAAACACCCCAGTGCTCTGGGGCAGGTAGTAAAATAACACAATACTCACTCATGGCTACTCTCATTCCCCTGCTTGTTTTATGTCAGATACAAGGCTTGGACTAGCACAGTGGGAACTTCCAGGCCACCTCTGCCCTGCCACCTTCTCTTCAGAAAAGCTGCTGTCTGGATAACATGCTGTGCTACCATGTGAATGCCTCTTCCTGCCTCTTTGCAGGGCAAATGCCAACAGCATCTGCTCATCAGGGAGTGGGGCAGGGCTAAAAGCTGCCCCTGTCTGTGTGGATGGGTTGGAATTTGGGGCAGAAACCAGCAATACAGTATCAACATGGTTTACAAGATCAGTCTAAAACTGGAGCATCTCTGCCATTGTTGCTGATACTGAACCACCCAGAATTCCCAAGAACTTTTAGGTGGATACTGGGTTTCTGACCTGTAGAAGAATTTCTTGGAAGGCAATATCAAAACTCCCGTCTAGTGAATTCTCTCTATAGTGGCCTCCTGGCTGGTTATGTTCAAACTCCACATCCCTGCTTTACCTATCTGACCTTGTTTCTCCTGAGCTCCACTACCACAGAGGTAAGTGCACAGAGAATGGACAGGCTGTGAACAGAGACCAGTCCAGCTTCTGCCATGGACAAAGTATTCTACCTTCCAGCAGAAGAAAGTAGAGGAAATTTCCAAAGTCACTGGATGAAAAAGAAGCCCAGAGAGACTGGAAGGGGGTCTGCATTTTGACAGAGAAAAGAACAAAGCCGAACATGAGCATCCACTGAGCTTATTGACTTTCCACACCCAGTGCTCTCATGGCTCGCCAGAGATGTCCTGTGATCTTTAGTTTCATGCAGCATTCATCAAGAACCTCATGACTGTCCTCCTTCCACACGGGGCAATCCTGAGTGCCTTGTGCATGAAACTTGTATTTGCTGTAGATGAAACAAAGTACTTTACTAAAGTACTTTTACAGTAGAAAGTAGACATTTCTACTGGCTATAGCATTCAGATTTTATTTTTATCCGTAGCTGCACTAACCACAGACCTTGCTGTGCTGCTGGCAGGCACCGTCCTCCTGACTGCAGAGACCACCTCATGATCCTGGGATGAACAGACATTTGGTTAATAAAAACCTGGTAAAGCCAGATAGTAATCATGTAAACAATGAAAATAGCAAATAAACATGAGAAGTAATCACACTTTAACCAGCCTGGTAGCTAAACTACTGCTTTTCTGGGACATGAACATTTGCCTTTCCCTTTCACTGCCCGCTGTTCCGTTGCTCCCAGTTACTGGGGCTCTGGTAGGACACAGAGGGATGCCAGCCCCCGGCTGTGCCTGCTGGGGCGAGTGTGTCTGTGAGGGAGCAGTGACGCCGTGCCCAGCACTCAAAGCCGAGACTGCTGGCAGGCTGTGCCCAGCTGCGGCCCCTGCTGTGCTGCTGCTCCTTGTGCTTTTGGTCAATTATGGAACAGCAGCTGGACAGGAGCCGGCGTGTGGCCAGGAAGGCCAGTGGCATCCTGCCTGGCCTGTATCAGGAACAGTGTGACCAGCAGGATCAGGGCAATGATTGTCCCCTACACTTGGCACTGGTGAGTGCTGTGTCCTTCAGTTCAGGAAGGACATTGGAGTGCTGGGATGTACCCAGAGAAGGGTCTGGAGCACAAGTCCCACGAAGCGAGCGGCTCCGGGGCTGGGGGTGTTTAGCCTGGACGAGGCTCCAGGGTGACCTTATCCCTTATCCTGACAGGAGGGTACAAGCTGGTGGGCACTGGGCTCTTCTCCCAGGCCGTGACAGGACGAGAGAACATACTCATAGAACTCTCAAACCGTTCCGGGGGACTTCAGGATGGACGTCAGGACGAATTCACAGAAAGGGTGATTAGACACAGGAATGGATTTCCCGGGAGGTGGTGGTCACCGTCCCTGGAGGTATTTAAGGAAAGGGGAAAGGCTGGCCATGCGCTGGTGTTGGCCGTGGGCTGGACCCGGTGATCCCGGAGTCACCTCCAGCCTCATTGATCCCGGCATCCCGGGAGCTTCAGCCGCCGGGAGGCGCTGCGCATGCGTGCCGGGCTCCCGCTGCGGCGCCTCGTCCGTGCGCCGCGCGCCCCCTGGTGGTGCGGCGTGAGGGGCCGTGGCCGCCATGGTGGCGCGGGCGCTGTGGGCGCTGCTGGCGGCGCTGCGGGCGGGCTGGTGCCTCCTGCCGCAGAGCGGGTACCTGCACCCCGACGAGTTCTTCCAGGCACCCGAGGTCATGGCAGGTAAGACGTGCGCCCGGGACGGGGTGGCCCCAGGAGGGCGCGAGGGGACGCGAAGCGGCGCGGCTACGGGCACCGTGTCCCCCATCGCCGGCCAGGCGGGTGTTCCCGAGGGATCCCGCTCTGCCACACAGCGAGTCCCGCAAGCCGGGCAGGAGAGGATCCGCAGGGCTGGCCGGCTGGGTGGGTCCTGCTCTGTGCAGTCCACAGCGAGTGACGCCTCGAATCACATTACTGTAGCAGGCTTCTCGATGCTTTGTGAAAATGAATGGTACGCTCCTAAAGATGTCAAGGTTGACACCAGTTTCAAAAGTTTAGGAGCTGCTCTGTATTGTGATACCTCTTTTACCAAGTAGTATCCTTAACGCTGAATAAAGCATATTATCTATGTATGTATTTTTCTCTTCCTTTGTAGGAGATATTTTAAACCTTCAGGTCTATTATCCATGGGAGTTCCTTTCCAGCTCTCCTTGCAGAACAGTTGTTTTCCCGTTAATGACATCAGGAGTTACATACTGGCTGATGAAATCTTTGCAGCAGTTGGATGTATGTTCAAGTTGCATCAACAGCTACACTCTCCTTGTATCTCCTCGCCTGCTCATTACAATCTTTTCTTTCATACTCGACTATAGTGTTTATCGATTGGCCCCTTTCTGGGAAGCAGATCCGTGGAAAGCACTGGTACTTCTTGCTGGATCATATGTCACGCTGGTGTTTTATACAAGAACGTTTACCAACACACTCGAAGGACTTCTCTTTGCTGTTCTCATGGTACTGGTTTCTTCAAGGAAGTCCAGTGGCAGCTCAGCAGAGCCTACAAGCAGCTCTCTCATAGGTGTCATAACAACTGCTGGGTTTTTCAACAGGCCAACCTTTCTGGCATTTGCTCTAATGCCCCTGCTTTACTGGGCCGGTTTAATTGTTGACTCTCAAAAGAGCATTAAAACTCTCATAAACCACTTTTTGAAGTTTATCCTATGTACATGTTTTACTGCTTTTGTTTTCATAACTGCTGACACCTTCTATTTTACCTCTGTGAGCTTAGACAACCTCTGCAGCACTAACAAGAGCAGCCTAATTGATGTAATAGTTCAATTACATGACAAAATGGTAGTAACTCCCTTCAATTTTCTCAGCTATAATCTTAATCCTCATAATCTTGCACTGCATGGAAGTCACCCACGAGTTACACATTTTACAGTCAACGGAGTAATGTTGTTTGGGATCTTACATATTCTGGCCATTGGTGCTGGCTTTAAAATGCTAAAGAAATATGTCCGTCAGTTAATGCTGGTCAGATGGTATTACCATGGGCTGCCCGAGCTGTTGATGCATTCTGAGGGCAGTGCAACATTGCTGCTGTTTTATTTTGTTCCTCTGGCATTTCTCTCTCTGTTCAGTCACCAGGAGCCTCGGTTTCTCATCCCTCTCATCCTGCCGTTGGTGCTGTTCAGCGCGTCACCAAACAGGGCTGTGAAATGGAAACTCCTCATTGTTCTGTTCAACCTTCTGGGGGCACTGCTGTTCGGGTGCTTACACCAGGGAGGGCTCATTCCCTGTTTGTTTCACTTGGAGCAGCTCATCCATTCTCCAGCATCCTCAAGCCACCCGCGGCAATACACTCTGCTCTTTGCACACACCTACATGCCTCCAAGGTCTCTGCTCAATATCAAGAAGACAGACGTGCATGTGGAAGTCATTGACATGGCTGGAGCTGGAGAAGAAGCCCTCTGCCAGACAGTAGAGCAGCGAGCAAGCAATTTTACCTGTGGAGACTGTCATATCTTTATTATAATCCCTGGTACAGTCAGAGCCACAATTACAAAATGTGGTGTCTCATTCAAGAACGAGACTTTGATATTTCCTCACTTATCAATGGAAGACCCACCACAAATACCTGTACTATCCAGTGGAAATTGGAGGAGTCAGTTAGGACTTTACATCCTTGAGCTAAACAGAGATCATCAGAGCCTTTAGATTTTTGGAGAACAAAATTTTAGTATTTTAGTCCATTTGGATTCTGTCTGATGGTGGTGTGAGACCTTCCTCATTCATACACCTTCCTTTCAGCATTGGCACTGGGAGCTCTCCCAAGTCACTTTATTCCCATTCCTCACACTCTTAGGGTAGCCAGTTCTGGATAGAACCTGCTTAAAATCTGACTTACTCAGCCCTGTGGTGTTTCATATGAACTTTTGTAATTCTCCTGATGAGAGAGAATGAAATTGGAGCCCACCAAAACTGTTATTGAAGCTTAGCTGTTTCCATGTGAGATTTATTTTTGAAAGCTCTTATAATCTCTGACAGGGTTTGGGGACTGTGGGGTGTTTACTGATAATAGGCATTAATTCAGCTGCTGGAGAGAGATTACAGGGTTAGACAAAAGCTGGTCTGACTCAGTAATCTTTTATTTTATGTTCTTAAAAATTCATTAGACCAGACTGCAGTTATAGTACTGTACCACTGCCTTGGATGGTGGGTCTGTCTTGAAAAATCCCCAGCATTGATCTGGCAGAATCAGATTTAGAACATGGAAGATGGTTCAGCCGAAGTACTTGTGCTAAATCCTAAAATCTAAGCTTTGCCTGTTTAGCCTCCCTTCCCACAGTTCCGTCCTCGTGAACGTGCTACCCACGTACTGAGCCGGGCAGCGCTGGGATGGCATTAAGCGTGCGCGGTGTTCCGCGGCTGCAGCTCGGGCACTCCTTCCCTTGCGCGCTCCTGCCGCTCGTCTCGCATCTGTCGCTGCTGTCACGACTGTCACCCCGGCAGAGCGCACGGCAGGTCCTGCGGGAGCTGGATCGAGGAGCTGCGCAGACAGAAAGCGGTAACTGGGAGGGATTTGATCCTTCGTGCCATTGGACCAGAAGCATCTCTGAACGGGCTCAGCACAGGGTCAGAGATGCCTGGTTCTGCTGCCGTGCAGGGAAGGCAGCCCCGAGGAGGAGCCGCATCTCCTGCGCCCTCTCTCCATGCACTAACTGCTCCCCATTAAATCAGCTCAGTGGGAATGACAGCTTATATCCTGGCTTTCCACTGGGGAGCGGTCTCTTTTAAAACTGGACACCAATAACTGGGCTTCAGCTACAATCTTTAGTTTTGCCTATGAGAACTGGATCCAAAACATCCTGAACTGGCACATGCATTGTAGATCAACCCTCTCTGACACTTGAATTATTTCTGCTCACAAAGGTGGTAATGCTTTTGGCAGTTCTTCACCCACACAACCTTACATAAGGTCTTAAGACCCAGGTTTTCAACAGAGACAAGAATAATACAGGTTGATGCCAAGCTCTAAGGAGAATCTAGGAAAAATGAATGTGTGACTGATTTGCCTGTATTTTCCAAACTATAGGAATGATCTAGATGTTTAGGGAACATTGTTCTTGTTCTCTTGTAAAGCATTTTGCCTTATGTTCTCTGTATGTTCATCCCACATCTTTCATTCCTCACTGCTGGTCTGCCTGTAAATTAAAGGTGAGTGTTTGGGGGGAGGCAGGGGGAGAGAAGGTGCCTATCTATTTGTACTGGTGACTCACAAAGTCGTGTAAGTAGTTGTGAAAGCATCGTGACAGCAAATGTCTTTTCCAAGGTAATTTTCTTTTTGCCCTCTTACACTGGGACAACGCAACCGTGTGCCATAGCTGGTACTCCATGTCCTGCTTCCCACTTTCAGCTTTCTTAAACAACTTAAATCTTGAACATTATTTTCAGAAAACTTACAAATTCTGGCAGTGTGAGTGGGGTACATCGTGAAACTCTTGGGGGATGTAATGGAGCACCATTCCCATGGGATAATGGCTTCTCTCTACCACTACACAGGTAACCTGCAGAGAGCCAGCAAGAGAACCTGTACTACAAATACCAGCTCAGATTAACAATATACTGCTTTTGTCTCGCCAGCCAGACCTTTGAATTTACACTGTAGATGCAGTTTCTCCATCCATCCACACCTGTCTTTGTTGCTGGAAGTTTAATTTTACCAGCAATACAGGAAACTGTATCTCAGACAAAGTACAACGTTCTCCTCACCTGGGATGATACAAGAAATGGAAATAACCCTCCCCAGTAACAGAGCCTCTACTCAGCTGGATCAAACAGTGAAACATGCTCTGAAAGAAGGTTAACTGCTGTAATGTCATGGATGTCATCAGATCAGCATTTTAAGCAAACCTGCTTAATGCATTACACATGATAGATGCATCCTTTTCCATTATGTATCTGTATTCCCATTTTTATGGAGGGTGGCTCTATTGGTGATTTTTTCCCTATAAACCCTTCTTGCTACAACAGACTTGAGGTGTGCTTTTAGGATAGCTACTGGATCGCTTTTTACCTTCCTGTAAGATGTCCCTCATCCTGTGCATCATCATCAACACTTAAAACCCTTTTTGTAACAAAACTGTATCAAATATAGAGTTTTACTTCTGTATACACAGACATTACAGGTACTCCCGTGAGAATTGTGGTTTTATTTCAAGTTTCTTATCAGCATTTAAAGTGACAATCTTCACAGCATTGTGGATGATTATAAAGTGAGTCTGCTTGTTCCTGAGAACCGTAGAACATGTATACTGTCTTTGAAATAGAAATCCATGAAACCGATGAGGAGCAGCTTCCCGTGTTCATGCTTTCCCGAGGAGTCGCTCCAGGCCATGCCATGTGGAACGCATTGTCCAGTCCGCAGCTCGCCATCCACAGTTCGGGCACCGCTGGGGTCCGGAGCGACTGCCAGGGTGCCCCGTCACCAGCGCCTTGGGCCCTTCTCCCGCCGGTTCCAATGCGCTCCGGGCACTCGGCGCAGGGAAGCAGCGGCGGTTCCCGTCTCCTCCCGGGCGCGGTCCGCAGCTGCCTACCGCTCGGAGCGGCGATCACGGCGCTGATCCGGGGCGGCCGCCGCGGCCCGGCCCGCGCGGCCACGGCCACCCCCGCGCGCGGGCGCCGTCCTTGAGCTCGGAGAGGAAGGCGTCACGCAGGCGAAGCAGGCGCGGGGCCAGGTCGCGCTGGCCGCGGGTGAGGGCTGCGGCGGTGACCCGGGCGGCGGCACGGATGGGCCTCGACTCCGAGAGCCGTTCTACGAGCCGCGGGCTGGAGAGCAGCAGCAGCAGCGCCCGCAGCAGCGCCATGGCCGCCGCTCTCGCGAGATCCAGCGCCGGAGCGCCCCCACACGCGGGATTACCTCGCCGCGCTCGCGAGAGCCGCGCACCGCCTCGCCATTGGCTGCACGCCCGGCGGCCACGGGGCGCTTGCGCGGGGCGCGGGAAGAGGCCGAGAAGCGGCTGCGCCGGGTGGTGTCGGTCGGTTCGGTGCTGGGCACGGCCGGGCCGGGTTGGGCTGGCCTCGGCAGCGTCGCCATGAGCTCCAGCGGGACGCTGAGCATCCTGCGCAGCGACTCCTACGCCGAACTCAGCCAGTACCGGGACCAGCATTTCCGGGTGAGCCGCGGCTGGGGGCGGGCGCCGCGCGGTCAGGCCGGACCGGACCGGACCGGACCGGACCGGGCCGGGCCGGGAGGTGACGCTGTGTCCTTGCGGCCCAGGGTACGCGGTACGACCAGGAGCGGCTGCTGAGGAAGAGCTGCACCCTGTACGTGGGGAACCTCTCCTTCTACACCACGGAGGAGCAGATCCACGAACTCTTCGGCAAAAGCGGCGACATCAAGAAGGTCATCATGGGGCTGGACAAAGTGAAGAAAACCGCCTGCGGCTTCTGCTTCGTGGAGTATCCTTGTGCGGGGTCAGGGTGTGGGTGAACTGCTCTGCACTGCAGGCTCTGAGTCACGGGGGAGTTCTCCGAGGATAAAATTAATCGTTTGCTAAAGTGTCTGTGGGAGACCTTGGCGAGAGAGAGCAATTCTGGGCTCACGGTTGGACGTGATGATCTTACAGATCTTTTCCAACCGTGGTTCTGTGATTCGAGCATACACTGCATGTCGAGCGGGGTCAGCAGATTGCTTACACTTTGATACTTTATCCCAGACATCTGTTAGGTGGTTGGCCTCTGCAGTAAATTCATATTCTCCGTGACGAGGTAAAAAGGTTTTTCTTTTCGTACAAATACACTTGTAAAGTTTCTTTAGGCATCTTTCATTTCGTCTGTGTGCACTTTTCTGAGGATCGTTCTGTTACTGGTTCCAGTGAACTCACCAGAGGTGAAAGTTTGCAGCATGAACGGAGCATATGTGGAGCGTCCCACTCTTTAACAAGATAACTTTGTTCTGTTAAATGTCGGCATTTGTCGGTTGACAAATATACCAATTAATCCAATATACGTATTTTTAATGCTTGAACTGCTGCATGTTCCTCCCTTTCACTAGCATTTTCTTAGTAGCTGGTGTAGCTTCATAAAAGCGGTTCAAGCAAAGATTTGGTTTTGTAGCCGATTTGATACAGTTCCTTTTTCCGTGTGGTGAAAATAGAGGTCCATTTTTTTTCATTAACCAATCCTAAGGTATTATGCCAGAGGAGATGCTGAAAATGCAATGCGATACATCAACGGGACCAGACTTGATGACAGGATCATAAGGACAGACTGGGATGCAGGATTTAAGGAGGGTAGGCAGTATGGCCGTGGAAGATCAGGGGGGCAGGTAAGTTGTTGTACAGCCTGGGGTTTTAAGGGAATAGTGACTTTGCCAAACTTCTTGGTTTTGAATGAACACAGAACAATTTCAGAAACAGCCGCTTAGGAGTCATTGTTTAAGATAACACTGGAGGACATCTGATCAATGGCAGTATACTCCACTAGGAATAAATAACTCTTTCATAAATTTCACTAAAAGTACTTGCAGAAATAATTCTTGGCTGCCTGGGGAGATAATGCTTTTAAGTAAGCCCAGAAAATGTAAGGGGCTGTCAGGAACACACAGGACAGCAGTTGGCTTACCCCAAGTGGAGCAGGTGGCAGTGGCTTTTACTGCCAAAGCCCAAGGCTGGCCATCCTTGTGTTGATTAGAGAGTCCCCAGAAATGATGAAAGAGAAAATTGGTTTATGCTAATCTGGACTTCTGCCTGATGCACTTTGCCTTCTGTTTGGTCAGTCAGCTCCATGTAGGCACTTAGGTGTTGTGATGTCAGTATGACTGTATTCTAATAGTGTAACAATTTTTGAGAAATGGCTTTTCATTGTCTTTCCTGGACTTCCCTTTCTCCCTCCTTCATTAGGTCCGAGATGAGTATCGGCAAGACTATGATGCTGGAAGAGGTGGCTATGGCAAAACTGTTCAGTGCCAGTGACTCCTCGGCTTCACAAGAGAACCGAATCTGCATTCTAAATGTCCCCAGGCACAAAGTAGATCTTTTGCACACAATTCACAGAAACTCCTATCCATGTTCCTGTGAGCATCCTATGTTCAATACCTCTTCTGTTTTAACACCAGGATCCAAAGCATTGCAGAGGACCTAGGAGCCAGGCTTTAAGCTTTGGAATGCTGAGGCTTTGGTCTCGAAATGCTGCTATAACTTACTGAAAGGAGTGCAGATGTAACATTATGGTGCTTTTTTTTTTCCCTGGCAAAACTTGATTATTCTACTGGGTTTTGTTTACATTGGTATCCCAGGGTGGAGAGCAGTGATAAAGGATGATTGGTGGATTTTTCACAGGTGAAAGCAAAAGGCAAAGAGCCTGAAAGTGGAATTTCTAGGGAAATTTTTCAGTTTCTAGGAAGACTTTTAAGTTGCAGATTTTCTGGGGTTACTGAATTAGCATCTTTTTCTACTGGTGCTGTTCCTAGAATATTTACATGAACAGCCATAATAAAACAAATCAGATTGAATTCAGGAGTCATGAAGTTGAAAACCAGCTGAGCAGAGAGCAGGAAATAGACCTCTGCTGTCTTCTACAAAGTGTCGTTGTGATTGCATGACAGAAGAGCAAATGCAAGAATTACAGTGCTATTATTTCACAGTTTGAGTATTAGTGTTTTGCCCTATCTGTTATTCTCTACAACCTTAATATTTGAGGACAGTATCTTCCCTGTGCCTGTAAGGGTTGCATGAATCCAAGTTACCCCCCAAATGGGATGTTTATGGAATTGGGTTTATAATGAGAAAGTTTCTTCCCAAAATAGGTTTTCTATTTGAGAAACACGTGACAAGAATGGTAAAAGAATTTCAGGATTGCGTAGCTTGTTGTGTTTTTCTCTTTCCCTGCTGGGTCCTATTCATACTGCTTGTTGGTGTGTTGGAATTTGGATATATTGCAGACATAGGTTTAAAAAATATGATCCCAAGATCAATAAAATTTATCTGATGAAACGAAATAGTTTAAAAAGAACTGTTACAGGGCTTTGGAATATCTTCATGGATTTCTGAGTTCAATGTAAATATCAATTCCTAAAGCTTTGTGTAAATGCCTTGTTGTCCATGACTCCTTATAAGCTTTCAGAGGTGTACAAAAGTTGATCTTTACTCACTGAAGGTATTGTAGGAAACCTTGATGTGTTTCTTGCATACAGTTCATCACAACTGTTACTGTAAATTGGAAGACAAGTAAGATTGAACAACTCCTTACTTAGGAAGTGTGGGTTTGATGGTTTTTGTCATGTAGACTAAAGCTAGACTTTTGAGATCATTTGGTGCTGGTCTGCAAATAAGATTTAAACAAAGCTACATTTTCCAATATAGTACATTTGATTATTATGAGTTTACAGCCTGTAATCTACTGTAGAACACTGCTGAAGTTTATTTTTCATTGTATCAATTTTGTATAAAAAATGTTACCAAAAACTCTAAAGTCACTTTCTTTTAAATAAAGCTTTTAAATAAAGCAACATTAAAATTGTTTGTTACTTTTTTTTAACAGAATCAGTGAACTAAAGGAGCTATATTCAGAGTTTTGGTCACATCCTTTGTTTTAGTCTCTTTTAAGATGGAAAGAATGAATATTCTTTCCCTTTGATTGTATTTTCAGTCTTGTTCTGTTCTTACCTGGATTCTGAAAGGTGTTTGGGTAATGCTCTTCGTTATGGTTTGAATTGCTTTGAATTAAAGGTCAAAAATTGTTTTTTGATAGTGAAGTAAATGTGAAAGTCTTTGGTGTGTAAGAAGTACTTTTCAAGGTGATCTTCCTTATAAAAATGAGGTTTAAAATTGTTTTTTATTGTAAGTACTGCCAGTACTTCTCAAAAATTCATTCTCAAATGAGATGGAGGTGGTAATAAGATTGTCTGCCACAACAATCACTGTTCTTTGCTGCTTATGTGCAATGGGTCTGAAATGAGTATGTTTTAAAGTGAGATTATCTGTTTTGAGAGATACCAATCACAATGGGATTTAAAACCACATGAACTCTTGTGAACTCTTAAAATCTCAAAAGCTCATATAGTAGAAATTGAACATGGTTTGATTGTTGCCTTCTGTAATTGAAATCAGATCTGGGTCTGCTGAACCTAGTGCTTAATGAAGGGATCTGAATCAAGTCTTTGAAAGTTCTCTAGGGATTTATTCAGCTTTCTGACATCCTGGTGCATTGTGATTAGGTTGTCTCGGAAGGACAGAATCTCCCATGCTTCTTGGACGAGCTACTTCCTTGCAATTATGAACACTTTAATGGAAGTTCAAGCTCTGTGTTAGTGTTTCTTAGTACTTCATCCTAATTAGCTAATTTTATGGATTGTATCCATAAAGAAACCCAGCAGCTAAGAATATGAGTGGAAACTTAGATATGCCTTGATGGAAGGGAGGCTGTAAGAATTTAAAGCAGTGACAGCTTCAGTCTCTCCCTCAGACTGGTGCAGGCTCATGGGATGATTTACATGCCTGTCTTAGGCAGCAGTGACTGCAAATAAGATTTGTATTCACAGCATTTGAGTCTTAGTATTACAGGGTAAAATCAGTGGAGTTTAAAAGCATTAGAGACATTTGTTTTCAACGACTGACACAATAATGACATCAGCAGTGTCTCACTGCAGGCTCATTCCGAGGTGGTCTGTGTGTTAGGTTACTTCACTGCCCTGTGCAGACAGTTCCCGCTCAGGTTGGTGCAGGCACAACTGCTGGTGTTAGTGGTCCTTTCTACACAGACAATTCTGAAAAAAATACTGAAACTAGTGAAGCTAATATCCAGCACCTCATCTTCCACATCTTGTCAGATTTGACTTCTTGTGAAGGAAAAAATTGATGAAAACGACTAAAATTGACATGGTTTGTTCATGGTTTTATCTCTCAAGGAAAGATAGTCCTAGTCAAAGGACTGCAGTCCACAGGGACTGCTCATGAACTCTTACCTATTTGAGTTTCTAAAGCACAAGTTGTACCTTATGCCAGAGCATGTAAATTAAAACAAAATAGGGTGTGCATTTTTCTTTGCACGCTCAGGTTTCTGCTCCTAGCTGAGTGTGTTTGGTACTTTCAGGTAAGTCTAGGGCCAAGCCACTGTAGGTGGTGTATCAAAAAATTAGTGGGGATGGTGGAGAGAAGTGTCCTTGGCTTCAAAACGTGTTTTTGAATCCATGACATGATAGTATTTTTGCATTAAGACTATGTAACTGTACAAAGATATGAAGTATATTGCACCCCTGCCAGTAGAGGACAGAGTTACATGAGAAGAAGGTTTGTTGATCTTGAGAAACTCCTTTCTGAAAGCAGAAGAAATCGGTTCTTGTGTCAGGGTTCCACAGTTCATGAGGATGACCTTCCTGCCACTCTGCTTCTCAACCTGCTTTCTGAGACAAAGATGTGCTTTATTTCACTGAGGTAATTTCGCTGAGGTAATACTATTCTCCAAGGTTCTTTTAGCTTCCGCCTGAAGGCCATTTGAGTGTCTATTTGGGTCATTTACAGGGGAAAAAAAAAACCAAACAAAAAAAAGATAAATAGGAAGCCAAAGTCTTCTTTGCAGCTCGAGTGGCTGGTGAGTTCAGATGTGATGCGAATGTTTCTTTCAGCAGGAGGATGAAGTTTGGCAGTGGAGCACTCCGGCACAGATGAAGCGCCCGTGGCCCCCTCTGGTGGTGACATCGCCACCGGCAGGGGGGCGGCTGCCGGCAGCGGGGCAGGGACTGTCCTTGTGCTGTCGAGATTTTGCCTCGATTTGGTTGTAGAAATGATCGAAAACCCGATTTTCATCACGAAGTATGTAGACCATTTCTCAGAGTAGGGGCAAATAGAGGTCAGGATTTATGGGTTTGTAGCCCATGGCTGTTCCTCTGTTTAGCAACAGCTTAGTTACCTTTTCCACTGGATATTGCAATATGCAGTGTCTGTGGTAACTTCTCTTCCTGCTCCCAGCAACCTCTTCGGATCTTGCCAAAGCATTCCATGATACTGAAAGACAGCTTGACTCCATCCATGCTTCAGACGCCCAATCCATGCTTCACAGTCTCACATAAATTGTAGTTTGTGTAACTGTGCCAGCAAATCTTCTTGGGCCAGCATTCCGTTTTTCAGTCTCTAGTTGGCTATAAGTTGAAGTTCTGTATGGCACACAAAGTAAATGTCTGCAGGTTGACAAGAGCTTGGGCAGGGCTTAAAATATCTGGTTTGTTTCTCTGGAGACACAGTAGTCCTTCAAGGACTTTGCAGACTTAAATGTCTGTTGCTTCTGAGTATTACTGTAAAAAAAGGAGAAATGCCCTTTTTTTTATCTTAGAAAATTTTTATCTGGTTCATAGGGTGCTGATGCTGTGTGTGACAAGCCTGTTGTGGATGAGGTGCTTTGTGTCCTCAGTCCTGGTGTTGACAGGGCTGTCTTTGCTAACTCTAATGTGTTTCCCAACACAGTAACAGGTGAGGATAATGACGACAGGCAAAGAGATTCAGTAATCTCAGTATGCATGACCTGAGTGAAATGTAGACTATTATTTTTTTTCACATCTGAAGGACAGATATGAGTTATTCCTGGTGTAGCGTTTTATTGCTTTGAGGGTGCTGCAGCAAATGCTTTTGAAAACCCTTTCATGACTGTTCAGTAGGAGTTGCAGTCCTGCTTGAATATTCCTCTCAGAAACTTTCTCTTTGTCCTCCAGTGGTCATCTCTGACTGCATAAAACCTGTTGGTATTTTATTCTGTTATCCTCCAACCAAGTCTAGGCAAAGCCAACTGTTTCTGCCCTGACAGGAAAAACTGCCACTGTTCCAGAAGTTCTATGAGGGGCTGAGGATTCCAGGCACCAAGTTGCATAGAGAGAAAGTGAAATACTTTCCATCAAATACCAGTGTGAATTGAGGTTTACTCAGTTAAAGACTGAGAAAACATCCTTCTTGTGTGCCTTGATGAAGATGTTTGCGAAAATAAGACTATATATGAAATATTTTTTGGGGGTTTATTTAATTTATTTAATTAGGGGTATTTCTGATTTCTTTTTCAAGGTGTGCCATCTATTAATTCTTCTGAGACTGATGTGTTTGCAGTAGAATAGTATTGAACCACAGTTTTTGTTTTTTAAGTTATAATTAAAAGACATCTCAAAACAATTTGAAAACAAATGGGAAATAAGATATGCTATTTTGCTGTTTATCCAGTTTTGTGCAACATAAATATCAGAATAAATTAGCCTGATTGAGTCAGCTTGTCCTTGCGTTTCTGGGCAATGAAGCTTTTCCCTTCTCTACCAATGTCTTCCTGGAAGCAACAAAGTGCAAAGAAAATTCTAATTTTCTAGTTAGAGTAGGTAGGAATATGTTAAGTGTTAATAATGCACACTTGTATAATTGTAGTTGTCCATCTGTAGCTCACATGCATTTCAAATTGCATTAGATTGTTTCAGTTTTCTGAATTTATGACTTTAAAATAATGCTCCTATTGTTTTATACTTTGTGTCTTTATACGCAATTTTCCTGGTTTGAAAATTGTTGCTATTCTGTTCAAATTAATAAGTTAGTGCTTTTTGTTTTGCGTTTGATTTTCTGCAATACCATTGTGTCGCATCTTAAATTACTTTTTTGAAGACAAAAGCCCTGTCAGCTGGTCCTGCAGCCACAAGATGTCGTGAGAAGCCGCGTCTGGCTGCAGGGGAGTGGGGGCTGCCAGGATTCTCAGTCAGCTGAGGAGCTGTTGTGGAAGGAGCGATGTGTTCTGAAACGGCCTCATTTCACTGTGCAGCTAAGGCAGCGTCTGCGCTTCTTGAAGAAACTCTCGCATCTTAGAATTCCGCTTGAAACAAAAATGTCTGGTGACTGATAAAATACACCCTGAAGCAGTAGAGTTAGGAGCGCCTTAAGGTTGCTGATGTGTAGGATGCCTCACAACACCAAGCACCATACAACTGAAAGATTGTGCTGGCTGGGAAAGGACTGACTTGTGCTTTGGGTTTTTTAGAGTTTTTTCTCCCTCTGAATTTACTCCAGTAGGAGGAGGAATAGGTTTCCATGAACTGGAACGAACTTCTTCCCATTAAGTCTGCACTTTTGCTTCTGCTTTAAATTTCCAGCTGAATTTGCTCTTTGGAATCTCCTTATTAATGTGAAAAAGCCTTCAAGCAGCAGTCTTACAACGTTCCATCCTGCACAGCTGCCAGGAGCAGGTGTGTACTGTGTCTGAGCTTTCCAGGGGGAGGTTCAGCAGAGATTTTTTAAAGTTACTCAGATCTCTCATACTCACTCTGCAAGTCATGGTGGAATTTTTGATGAATTGTTTAATAGGGTGCGGTCCTGTCAGGAACTTAGTTTTATCTCCCTTGGAGTTCAGTGAGATCTCTGTGCTTAGTGCTAAAGTACTGAATGTGTTTTAATGAACTTTGTCTGCTTATTTCTCCATAAATTAAACATGTAACATGCTGGCATACCACGAGAATTCTTGAAAGGCCTTTGGGAGCAGCACTGACTCCTGAGTTCTATCTC